ACTATCGATATGTGATTGGTCATTAAAAACTAAGAAACAGTCGTCAACATACCGTCGAAAGTACTTAGGACGAAACTCTACGGGACAGTCATCTAGCCACTTTTTCTCGTGAAAACAAAGAAAGATGTTCGCAAAAGTCGGGCCCAACGGTAGCCCCATTCCGACACCGTCATCCTGTTTGTATAGTTTGCTGTCGAACAAGAAGTAAGAGTTTAGCACTGCTAGTTCTAAGATGGAACGGAACAGCTCTTTGGTGAAGCCCGCTACAGTATTTGTGCCAGAGAACAGTGATTGAATGCATATTTCTATAGTTTCCTTTACGGGTATGTTTGTAAAGAGGCTCTCGATGTCAAAACTAGCCATGACGCCATTGGGAGGCATTTCAAAGTTTTGCAGGTCATTGACAAAGCTGTAACTATTTTTGATAGTAAACTGATCCTCAGTCAGACATGAAAGCATCGGTACTAAATACTTTGCAAGTTTGTACGTAGGGGTTCCACAGGCAGCAAAGATTGGACGAATAGGGACCATAAGCTTATGGATCTTTGGAAGCCCATAAAGAATACCTGGTGTCGATCCCGAAGTGTAAAGTTCATTGTAAGTTTCACTCGAAATCACTGCCAACTTCTTGAGCTTCCCGAGCAGTCTGTTAATCTTGTCTTCGACTCTGAGTAAGACTTTGTGTAGAGGTTCTTTAATCAAGGTGAACTTGGAGTGATCTGAAAGAACATTTTTCACCTTTTTCTGATAGTCATCCTTGTTTAAGATGACCACGCCTCTCCCTTTATCTGGTCTTGTTACCACTATGGACTCGTCAGACGCAAATTCTTTCAGTAGTTTCACGTCACTTTTTGAAAACACCGGCGAAAATACCTTAGAAGGCTTAAAACCATGATAGTATTTATATGCAATCATGTCTATATGTATCATGTCTATATGTCTATAAATATTGTTGCTCCTCGTGTGGGGAGGCGTACATCGGTTCCACCCTTGTCCGACTTAAAACCAGAGTAGCGCAACACCTTGGGGTTTCTGACCGAACTGGAGAAATGGCTTTAACTCCCAGACAGTCTTCTATACGCGATCACAAACAGACCTGTGATTCACCTGTAACCATCGCTGATTTTACTATCATTGCCAGAAGTAGTATAGAGGTTGACCTACGGCTGCTGGAATCTTTGCACATTCATGAGAACAAACCTGCTCTGAATAATAAGTTCTCAGCAGTACCCCTCTATGTAGTTACTTAGTACAAACTGATGGGGGAGAAAGTATGTTAACCCTCACCGGACCTATCGGTTTTCTACATACGCGCCGGCCGAGGGGGGGGGGCGGGTATGACCCCCCCCCCTCGCCGTTTCGCCCCTGGTGGAGCTAGCGCGTCGCGGAAAAAACGAGCGTGTGCGCCGTTACGAGACGCAGAGATTGGTACCCGACTTTAAGGTCCTAGGTCAACCGGTGACCTCTGAGGTCAGGTCAAGTGCCCCAAGGTACGGTTCAGTTTGTGGTGAATAACTTCGCAAAAAACGGCCGCAGAGCGCCGATTTTGGCAGCATCGTGTTTGCCTCGCTCAGGCGCGTCGAATGATATACTTTTTGTCCGGGTCAGGTCAACTTGGGGTGTTGACCTCAGGTCAAGGTCAGGTCAGCACCCCCAGGTCACAAAGTTGGTCGAAAGAGGTCATGTCGCATATCATTCGATTCGGCAGGTCTTCCTGAGTCCATTGGTGGCTTTCCTGACTCCCTAGCTCAATTTGATCGGGGGTTATTGACGAAAAACTAATATGGCCTTGATGACGTCATAAATGACGTCACGGAAGGTCAACATTGCAAAAGTGACGCATCTAACCTTGCAAGGAGTGCATCAAATCACGATTCTGTGTGCTTGAGATAGTTGGAGATCGTTCCCGGCGCCAGAATAGCAGTTTTCATTTTTCCCCATTGACTTATAATGGTGAGGTCACGAAAATGACCTGACCTCATATGACCTTTAGGAAAAATCCGAGATATACAAGTTGTGAGACTCATAATGGATACTAGATCCTGCAAGTTTCATTTCCCTGTGACATCTCCTCTGGCAGTGAGGGCGTTGCGAAGTTGCGACATCTGAAGACCGTGCAGAGGTTCACTTATGACGTCATAGGTCAGTGACCTGACCTGACCCAAAAATGCAATTGGTGTCAAAAGATCCGGCTTGAATCAAAGGTCAGGTATGCTAAGTTTCAGCTCTCTATCGCCAGCGTGCTCGGAGCTATCGCGAAAAAAACCCTATGGGGGGCGGCACCCGCCCCCCCCCCCCTCGGCCGGCGAGGGTTAAGTTTCAAGTTAATAGCGTAAGCGGTTCATGAGTTATTCAAGAAAACGGAGGGGGGGGGGGTCGGACTCGGATCCGACCCCCAAGGCGGTCGCGGGTTAAGTTTAACAGCGGAACTCTTATCATTGAGAGTCGGTTTTGTTTTGTGAATATATAAAGATGCCAAAATTCTCAACTGAAAGCTAGACCTTTCCATGTCAATAATTTGAAAGTCATCTAATGAGAAAGGGGTGTCACAAACTATAGTCTGGCAAACCTAAGAAAGAACGGAGTTAAAGCGCCTGGAATGCATGGTTCGAAATAATTTGTGTGAAAAGTTGTGACAGAAATCATGCCCTCACAATATAAATGCACATGCATGAACAGCCGCAGCACTTTAAATCCGTTCTTTCTTAGGTTTGCCAGACTATAAGATGACTTTCATCAAATTTCAACGAAGTCACGACTCTTCGATCTCATCAACCGCAATCATGGAAGACGTCTAAATCGCTTTAGTGAAATTGCACGTGCGTTTCTTATAGATATTTTGCGTTTTTCACTGACACTATTCGCCTTATGCAAAAAAAAACTATTCGCCCTATGAAACAAATGAGCGTTTATTGGCTTTAGCTATAGTCTATAAGTCTTGTTCCATGTCAAGCATGCGGCCGAAGTGCTCTGCTGAAAGTAGTGCTTGATTTCTGTACATACGGCTCTTACATTCAAAAACGCAAATTTTTGAACGGAGGAGCGAACTGCCGAAGGAGCTCCGACCGCAAGCTTAATATGGAGCAGACTATAGCATCTAATCTTACACTTAAAATCTGAAATGATGTCTAATGATATGATGGAGAAAACTATTTTACAAAATCGGCTTAACTCACCCGTCTTAACGTTTAGTAACTGTACCGTGCGAATATGTTTTGTATCTTTTGAAGTGTGTACAGAAATTGAACAAACTCAACTTGATGATGCTGTGGGTCTCAGGTTAAATAGGTGCGTGTTCGGAAGAAAGGAAATTACCCACAATGAAAGAACGAAATAAACAGTGAAACGATGGTTAGATATGGGTTGAAACTGGGAGAAAAACGTGAGAAATAAAACTAGGAACTCGTCGAAATACTCAGCCTCTCTGACACTCCGCGTACGATACTAAATTTATATTTTAACTGAGAGCACGTGCCAAAAGCCATAGAGATCAAAACGAACAGGAAGTAAACGGGGGCGGAACTACACAGCCAAAAATTAAAACACTTTTTTACATAATCAAAAACGAATCGAGCATATAGAAACGGCGAAAAGTCAATCTAGAAATTACAACAAATTAAAGCAAGGACAAATATTAAATACGGTTGAAAACTATAAAACAGAAGTGACGATAATAACGAATTTACAATAATATAAAGCAGGAAAACAAACGTTCATGATAAAATAGTAAACACTGCGCGAGGCGGCGATTGGCGGCGCAAAGGGCGGCCGGGCTGGGCGGACACGCCGCAGCTAAATTACCGGCGCTAGCGCGCCACACTGCTCCCCCTCTTAGTCGCGGAGCGCATCACATCACATTACAATTCACAAAAGGGGGCCTGCGCGGTGGTCACCAGTGACCCGGCGGCCGGGAGCGGCGCGACGGCGAGCGGATCGGCGTCCGGTGGCGGCGGTCGCCAGGGACCCGGCCGCCGGGTGTAGCACGGCGGCGAGAGGCTCGACGGCGAGCGGCTCGGCGTCCGGTGGCGGCGCGGTGACCAGCAGCTCGTCGGTCCGGGTCGGTGCGGGCAGCACCGAGTCCAGGTAGTGTCGTTTGCAGGTGTGTTGTAGAGTTGGTACAGGCGGCAGTCATCTTGGGCTGGCACGTTGGAGGCGAGCTGCCGGTGTCGATGTGGTGGCTGGCAAGCATTGGGCAGGCGTCGCAGGTCTCCCCAGGCTGGAACTGCTCCAAGATGGAGGGGTCGCTGGCACAGGAGAGCCTGGACTGGAGGTGGCTGGTCAGGACTGGTTGACCAGGAGCGCACCTTGTCTAGTCAGCCAGCGGAGCTCCTGCCAGGTGCGGCTTGACAGAGGCCCCAGGAGGGGCGGCTGCGTCCTGCGCGGCAGGGTCGTCATCCTGTGCAGCAGGGTCGTGTCGGCTTGTTGCTGGTCGCCTCGTCCTGCTGCTGGTGCTGGTTGACGGCGGGAGGCTGCTCAGCGGAAGTGCGAGACAGCTGGTTTGTCAGGCTGCACACGGGTGCGAAAACAGCACCAACAGCAGAAGGCAGGGCCAGGGACTCAGCCACAAGCACATCATCAGAGTGAGGCATGACGAGTAGGTAGGCAAGGTCAAGGTTAGCAACAAAAAGCACAAAAAAATGGCAACAAAAGCACAGGATATATCAACAGGTTAAACTCATCACTTCAAATCACGTCGGGGTCACCAGAATGTGGGTCTCAGGTTAAATAGGTGCGTGTTCGGAAGAAAGGAAATTACCCACAATGAAAGAACGAAATAAACAGTGAAACGATGGTTAGATATGGGTTGAAACTGGGAGAAAAACGTGAGAAATAAAACTAGGAACTCGTCGAAATACTCAGCCTCTCTGACACTCCGCGTACGATACTAAATTTATATTTTAACTGAGAGCACGTGCCAAAAGCCATAGAGATCAAAACGAACAGGAAGTAAACGGGGGCGGAACTACACAGCCAAAAATTAAAACACTTTTTTACATAATCAAAAACGAATCGAGCATATAGAAACGGCGAAAAGTCAATCTAGAAATTACAACAAATTAAAGCAAGGACAAATATTAAATACGGTTGAAAACTATAAAACAGAAGTGACGATAATAACGAATTTACAATAATATAAAGCAGGAAAACAAACGTTCATGATAAAATAGTAAACACTGCGCGAGGCGGCGATTGGCGGCGCAAAGGGCGGCCGGGCTGGGCGGACACGCCGCAGCTAAATTACCGGCGCTAGCGCGCCACAATGCCAATGTCGTCGAGAGCTTGTCTACTTTATGTCTATTTGGTAAACTAAAAGAACCAATACAATTTTGGCATGTTATCATTTTCACATCAAAAGCTACTGATTTTGGAACGGAACACTCACGTATTGAAAGTGCAAAATATCAGACCAAGGCCAAAATCAGAGTGAAATTATTCTGACAAAAATTGTCATCGTGTCGTGCACATTTGCACACAGCTGTCACGTTCCGCAGCTCCTAAGTCACTGTTTGAGTGCCGCCCATGGGAGTGGAACATATTTTTATCAGGGCGAGCGGTGGTCATATCTCAGACAGCACGGCCACTGGCACAGCTAAAGTTTAGCCACATAGCCAGCCGAGGGATCGCTCCGGTAAGTAAAGATTTACCGACACTTAAAAGACGTGTATGCACCCAGCCGTGGTCTAAATCCATGCAAACTCAATGCACACTGTTCATGAAATACGGATATCATAAGTATGTATAAGTGCATACCAATTTAACCTATGTCTAAGCACACGTAAATGTGAGAACATGCCGCGGAACGTAGGGGAGAGTGGGGATAACTGGGACGGGGGAGAGGTGGGACACCTTCAATATCTGTGTGACTGGGTGGACAAACAATTTTGTTTTTGCATATTTTTTCATGAATTTAGTCGGGGCACGTCACAACCAAGCGGTTTCCTTTTCCGGTAGCCTGTCTCTGAGATATTGAGCTGGGGTCTAAATGTGATTTTTTGGCATTGTACTCTAATTCAATTTGCCGTTTACTCAGCGATGTGAAATGTTCACGCCGTTCACCTTTGGATGTCAGTGAAGTCATCTTAATTATGCAGAAACATGTTTTATGTATCTGTTATACTTTTGTGTGGAAGAGCAGTGTAAATAAAAATGACGACTTGGGGAGAACTGGGACAACTTGCCTAAACCTTGTCCCAGTTCTCCCGCATGCAAATGCATAGGAAAATTTTCCAGGATACTCAGTGCTGTCAGTGTAGTTAAAAAAAAAAAGATAGTCGAGGTGATTTCTTGAAGTGTCAGTTTTTAATTACGTTCTTCTTCGTGATGAGTCAGCAAATTTTAATTGTATTCCATTTCAATCACATTTCTTGACCAGTCCCAGTTCTCCCCATCATTTGTCCCACTTCTCCTGGACGTGTCCCAGTTGTCAACCTTTCCTAAAATTTAAATTTGAGAAGTAACACGTGAACAAACACGCATAAAAACAGTCAAGAATGAAGAAGAAATAAACTGTTTACCAGTAAATGCAATCAATTTACTTAAATCTTAACCCTCGCCCGTAAACGGCGATCTGCCACCTTCGCCCATGCAGGGGGGGTTGGTGCGACCCCCCCCCCTTGGCGTTTGAAAACGGAGCGTCGTAGAGCTTAGCGGAAAAGACCAACGGATTGCTCTTGCCGAGATCTCGCGATTGGTGGTATATTTTTTGGTCCTAGGTCAACATTTGACCTACTTTTGACCGGTCAAAGGTCAAATTTTCGGAAAAATAGACTTTTTTCAACTTTCCGCGGCGATTGCGGCAAAACGGTGGGAGATATCGACTTGAAACCTTCACTATCGTGTTCCTTGATCAATTCTCTATCGTTTGGTATGTATTTCGTTTCCCTAGCTCTAAAAATGGCGCGTTGGGAGCGCCGGAAGTCGGCAAGGTCACAGTCGGCGGCAGAAATTCGAAAAATCAAAATTAAAATTTTTGAAATCTGATTGTATTTTTGGATTTGGAAGGTCCATTTGCTCCCTATAGAAGCTAATATTGCTGCATATTCCCATTGAGGTGACAAGAATTAGCAAAATAGTGGTTCGGGCGCTTTTCAAAAATAGTACCGGACGTTGTTCCTCTTGTGACGTCATAGCTCCGTGACCTGACCTGACCCGGTCAAGTTTCTTATACCATATGATAGCCAATACTTGCCCCAACATGCATGGGAAGTTTCATCACGATCCATCAACCGATGTCCGTACCACCGGCAGGAAACCTCAGGCGTTGGCACTCAGTTTGTGAAAATCCGGCCGGAGGCTGTTCCCTTTGTGACGTCATAACTCCGTGACCTGACATGACCCGGTCAAATTTTTTTATCAAAAGATGCGCAAGGTTTGCCCCATAAGGTACCCAAAATTTGGCGGCGCTGCGCGCCGCCGTTTTTGCACTATTTCCGAAAAACATCAGGGGGGGGTTGCACCAACCCCCCCCCTACATGGGCGAGGGTTAAATATTCCATTTTTACGACTTTTTCAAAGTTGACGTCAAAATAATGTCCCACTTCTCCCCGGTCTCCCCAAGGTATGTGTACCTGTGAAAAATGTTGGCATATGAATGTTAGGTATTTTGTGAATATTTAACTTCAATGAAGTCTTTTTAGCCAGACACCATGAAGTTCCTACTGGTCGCACTACTGGTGGGCGCCGCCTCGGCGTTCGTGGACAGGGCAGAGTGGGAGGCCTTCAAGCAGAAACATGCCAAGTCCTACGCCAACCCCATAGAGGAGTTTTACAGGATGAAGGTAATCTTCATTGGACAACAGCAAAGTCAATATGTCATAACAGGTAATATCAAATTCTAACAAGCTAGCGATGCGCAGCGTTGCAAAAAAAGTTATCCCTCACTACTATAGTTTATTCTTGCGGGTCTATCGCCATCTTGTGAAGTAAAAAATTTGAATATAACTCCTTGAGGACGTCACAGGGTCGATTTTTCTAGACTCTTGCACGGTAAAGTTCGACGTCACAGATGTGAGCTTCAGATAGCTGTCAACAATACCTAGTTTTAGAGATAAAGGCAGCTTACGAGCACGGTTTGTGGCATATGGCCTGGGGGAAATGCACAAAAATGATGACCTGAGGCCAGGGGGCAGGTCAACGACCCCGAGCTGGGGTTTTAGTTCTTTTTTTTACATATGACTTTACCTGAAATGGTCCTAGAGCTATGGCATTGGTAGCAGCTAGCGGTGTCAGTTTTAGAAAATGTATGTCCAATGTCCGTCCAATGTCCAATGCTTACGTCGACGTTCGTCCAAAAATGTCCAGGCCAGCCATTTGTCCAAGGATGTCGGAAACCTACGCAATAGTTTACACTCAACACTGTTATTCAATTTGCTTTTAACCCTCGCACCGACGGGGGGGGCGGATATCCGCCCCCCCCCTGAGGTTTTTCGCGAATAGCGGGAAAACCGCGCCGCGTAGCGCCGCGAAATTTGGTATGACTATAACCTCATCAATTTTACACATGGTGTGCAAGTTTGAACCTCCTACCTTTAAAGGTCAGGTCACCAGGTCACTTTGAATGACCCAACCTCAAGTCACTTTTTTGCAACTTTGTCACCGTGCCAGAGCTACAGTAGATGTCGGAGGCCTTTGAAAGTCGCAGGATATTATTAGGTCATTAGTAGCTACAATCTGTATATCTCGGAATTTTGATATCGGTGACCTAAGATCAGGTCAATTTCGCGACCTCCCCACATTATAAGTCAATGGGGGAAAAATCAACTCCCTGTTTTTACCACTAAAACGGGTCGGAATGGCCCCATATACCATACATGACTTCATATACGATCAATCTTCACTACCTTGAGGTCTGTTTTGCTGTTGGGCAGCTGTGAGGTCATGTGACGTCATCAAAGGTCACCAAAGGTTTTTGGCCAATAACTCCGTACAGGAACAAGATACAAACGCGTGGATGTTCTCATTGTGTTCAGCTCGTCAAGACGCATCGAATGATATACATGATGAGGTCACGTGAGGTCACGTGACCTGAGGTCAACCTTTGACCTTGACCTTTCGAGGTCAACATATATATATCATTCGATGCGGATTGACGAGAGGATCACGATGATGCCCTTAGTTTGTTCCTATCTTGACTAATTCGAAAGTTATTCGAGAAAAACTCTCTCCATATCTAGCGCCACCATTTTGACTTTTTCGACCCCTGTGACGTCATCTTTGACCTGACCTGAAAATGACCTTAGTAAAAATTGTAGATCTTGGCCGTGCGTATCCGATGCCGTTTACCGCTTGTCGCTATCTTGCTTCGTTATCGAGATCTCAGGGGGGGGGGGCGGTCATCCGCCCCCCCCCCCCCCCCCCCCCCCCCGTCGGTGCGAAGTTGGCGCAGACCCCCGTCGGTGCGCGGGTTAATGTACTACATACTACCAACTCTTTATCGAAGACCTAAGAACTGATCTGTTGCGCCTTCTTAGGTGTACGCGGACAACAAGGTTCTGGTCGACAAGCACATGAAGGAGTACGCCGAGGGAAAGCACACCTACACCGTGGCCCTCAACAAGTTTGCAGATTTCACCACGGAAGAGTTTTCTCGCATCTTCAAGGGAGTGAAAATAGGAGGAGCTAGGCCTCAAGCCATCCACAAGGTAAGGTATAGGGTGCCAAGGACATAAGGTGAATAGGACGGATTTAGCTGTTTAGACAATAATCACTGTCCGTGGCACTAGCTATACAATGTATTCAGTATTAGCGCTTGCACAGCGAAGAGCGAGAGAAAGTAGGCTTGAAAGTCACCAGCAGCTGGTTTCAGCGGTCTGCCAAGAGCCTGCCCTCGTCGCTGGACTGGCGCGATCACGGCGTGGTGACGCCCGTCAAGAACCAGGGCCAGTGCGGCTCGTGCTGGGCCATGTCGGTGACGGGCGCGCTGGAGGGCGCCTGGGCGCTGGCCGGCCACCCGCTGGTCTCCCTGAGCGACCAGCAGCTGATGGACTGCTCCGGCGACTACGGCAACTACGGCTGCAACGGCGGCTGGATCGACGCCTCGTTCAGGCGAGTTCAGGCGGCGCCGGAACTGACTGGCCAGGACTGCCGAGTCGTTCGCTTTTCCGAGACTGACTACAGCTCCGATTAAGCCTTCTACAAATCGACCTCGACTCCGCTGACTCCGACTCCAGCTCTGACTCTAGATCTCTCTCTTTAAGTGCGCGCACATCATGATAGCTAAATTCATGAGATATGACTTGAGTGTCATGATAAAAAAAAAAACTTTTCCTCAGGACTATATGTAATTAATGTTTATGTTTTTCGGAGTTGTTCAAGAGGATAAGTACAAATATTACATTTATTCAGATATTTCGGTACTCGTTGTGGTACCTTCATCGGTGAAATGGCGCACACGTTCATTTCAATGAATTTTTGAAATTCACATATGCCACGTGTGCGCCATTTCACCGATGAAGGTACCACAACGAGTACCGAAATATCTGAATAAATGTAATATTTGTACTTATCCTCTTGAACAACTCCGAAAAACATAAACATTAGCTAAATTCATGTCCGATATGATTTGTTCTTATATTATCTTAAATAATCTCTTCCGCAATTCAAGGTCTTCAATCGCAAATAAACTGAATAAATCGCGGATAAAACAGTCATGTCCGTAGGCTGAGGCGCACTGCGCAGCCACCTTCGTCTGATTCTAATGCTAAAACCTTTCGTCCAAAGCATACGAATGACTTTAGCTTGGACAAAATCAGACTTAAAAAGGCCAATGAACAAAATGTTTGAAACAGGCAACGGACATGACTTTCAGCAGCGAGCAATGCTATGCATGTAGGCTCCGACTACCTAGTCAGAGTCGGTACGACTTCAGCGACTCCAACTCCGATTTCGAGTCTGAGCAAAACTGTCGAGCCGACTCCGACTCCGACTCGTAGCCCTGATAAAGACTAGTAGAAGTTACACTTTTCTCATCTAGAGACGAAGTCTGCTACACAGGTCATACAGTATCTTTTCATTGCACGGTTCTTTGTCGCTCAATGATGCTGTGACATTTTACGAGTTACGGATTATTTTTCTTATGATTTTTCTAGCATCCCTAATCTTTCCCGAATAGTTGCCAAAAATGTATCGAGTCTTAGTTAACTGTTAAGTGTTAACTGACTTTCCCCATCCAAGAAGGCGATTTTGGGTAGTTGTGGAAATCAGGCGATGCAGAATCCCCGTACGATCTCGACAACAGATGATGCTGGGGCTACTGAACCCAAGTCGAGCAAATGTCTCATTTATATAATGAGAAGTCAGTGTCTTTTTTTGTACTTTCGCAATAACTCGATGCTCTACCACATTGGCAGCTACATCAAGGACAACGGTGGCATCGAGTCGGACGCCTCCTACCCGTACACGGCCAGCGATGGCGGCAGGTGCAAGGCGACCGGGCACTCGGTGGCCACACTCTCCAGCTACGTGGACATTCCCGCGGGCAGCGAGACCGACCTGCTGGACGCCGTCGCCACCGCCGGACCCGTGGTGGTCGTGGTCGACGCGACTCGGTACGGTTTCCAGATGTACTCGGGCGGCGTATACGACGACCCGGGGTGCTCCGCCACCTACGAGAACCACTCGGCCCTGGCCGTCGGCTACGGCACCGAGGACGGGAAGGACTACTGGCTCGTCAAGAACTCGTGGGGCACGGACTGGGGAGCGGACGGCTACATTAAGATGAGAAGGAACGCCAACAGCCAGTGCGGTATCGCTGACATGGCCTCCTATCCTGTTGTGTAGAAAATCTACGGTTGTTCTCACAACGTCATGTGCCCTGTATAGATTCTAGCCCATCTAACCTAAAATGTCTATGTTCCTTATAAGAATATTGGTCAGATCAGCCTTTTTGTTCCTATGTTGTTTTTAATTGCTGTCACATCTAATAAACGTCACGTGCCGTTATTTTTTGTTTGGGTTCTGCATTATAACAACACGCGCTTGCTTTAGGTACCTACACGTTGACAGGACAGAAGGCGAGTCGAGAGGGGCGCCAACGAGCGCTGCCTCAAATTCCGAAACATTTTTTATTTTACTCCCTAGGAATGCGTTTTTGGGCAATCAAAAAAAAAATATCGTATCAATATACCTTTTGCGTGGAAAGGCGAAAGCTAGTTAACACGCGCATGACTGGGGGAGAGCTCTACAGAGCTCCCCCCCCCTCCCGTTGTTCGGCAATATCTTCTAAACCGTTTGATGGATCAACACGACACTTGTGGTACCCTCAGCGGCATTAATTCGACACCTTGTGTTAAAATTTCAACTTTCTGGCTACCATAGTTTTGCCGGAAATGACGTCAGAGTGACGTCATGTCGGCCGATTTTGATGCAAAATATTGAACTACAGCAAACGCCCTCAAGAACTTAGTTTTAACCCTCGCCGGCACAGGGGTTGATGCAACCCCCCAAGGTTTTTCAAGAATAACTCGCGTAAAAAGCGGCCGATCGCGACTAAGCTTTCAGTACCCTCGCATCAATTTTACACCTAACCTGAAAATGTCATGACCCTGACCTAAATGACCTTTGACCCGTGACCGCTTTTCCGAGACCATGTTTGCCCGGAATCGCGATTCGGCGTACCTATGTCGGCTCGCATTAGCCGCGCGTTTGCAAGCTTTTCGTGGTCCCAAACGTTCAAACATGTGATTTGATGTTGCTCCCATGCATTAGAGTGGGTGTCAAGGTCACCTGAAGGTCAGGTCAGGTCATTGACTTTTGGTGACCTCGGTTCATTTTTTCGAGTTTTACATGTTTCTAGGCTCGTTTTTGGAGCTGAATTCGAATTTAGCAACCATTTAAACATTTACGAAGTAGTTTTGGTGCCTTCGTAACATGTTACGAAGCTGTCAGAGGCGGATGACAGGTACTACGAATACCCGTCACGACCCCTATCGGTTGACCTGACCTGACCTGATCCGACCTGATCTAAACGCTTAACGACATCATATGTGATCAAAACTAACACTGAAGAGTCATGTCTTAATAGTTAATACCCAGGTAAATGCTTATTTGAAATTGTTTTAACGGACTTTCACTGGGTAGTGGGTAAAAGTTATTATTGGTCCCCGGTACTCCGACTTGTATTGAAAAGTCTTCGATGGGGCACACATAGGTTTTTTTAAACCTATGTGTGCCCCATCGAAGACTTTTCAATACAAGTCGGAGTACCGGGGACCAATAATAACTTGTACCCACTACCCAGTGAAAGTCCGTTAAAACAATTTCAAACAAAACTAACACGATATTCGTGATCATCACCCCGGAAAAACCCCTTAGCAGCCACACTACGACTTTCAAACAGGTCCCGATATTCCCGATTTTTGGGTCATTGACCTGACCTGGAAGGTCAACCGATGACCTAGGACCTTAACCCTCGCCGGCACAGGCCATTTTGCGTCCTTCGACGGCACAAGGGGGGGGGTACGACCCCCCCCCCCTCGCGTTTGGCCCCTGATCGAGCTAGAGCTTCGCGGAAAAAACGAGCGTGTTGCCCGTCACGAGAGGAAGCCGATGATACCCAATTTTAAGGTCCTAGGTCATCGGGTGACCTTCCAGGTCAGGTCAATGACCCGAAAACCGGGAAAATCGGGACCTGTTAGAAAGTCGTAAAGTGTGGCTGCTATGTGGTTTTCCGGGGTGCTGATCACGAATATCGTGTTAGTTTTGATCAGAGATGATGTCTTTAAGCATTTAGACCAGGTCGGGTCAGATCAGGTCAGGTCAACCGGTAGGGGTTGTGACGGGTATTCGTAATACGTGTCAACCGCCTCTGACAGCTTCGTAACATGTTACGAAGGCACCAAAACTACTTCGTAAATGTTCAAATGGTTGCTAAATTCGAATTCAGCTCCAAAAACTAGCCTAGAAACATGTAAAACTCGAAAAAGTGAACCGAGGTCACCCGAGGTCACCAAAGGCCAATGACCTGACCTGACCTTCAGGTGACCTTGAAACCCACCCTAATGTATGGGAGCAACATCAACTCACATGTTTGAACGTTTGAAACCACGAAAAGCTTGCAAACGCGCGGCTAATGCGAGCCGATATACGCCGAATCGTGATTTCGGCCAAACATGGTCACGGAAAAGAGGTCACAGGTCAAAGGTCATTGGCGTCAGGGTCATGAAATTTTCAGGGTAGGTGTAAAATTGATCAATGCGAGGGTACTGAAAGCTTCGTCGCGATCGGCCGCTTTTTACGCGAGTTATTCGCGAAAAACCTTAGGGGGGGTTGCATCAACCCCCCCCCCCCCTGTGCTGGCGAGGGTTAAGATTGGGTATCATTGGCTTCCTCTCGTGACGGGCAACACGCTCGTTTTTATCCGCGAAGCTCTAGCTCAGGGGCGGGCAAAGTCCGGCCCGCGGGCCGGATGCGGCCCGCCAAGCTCCGGCGTCCGGCCCGCGGCCTGGATAGGCAGCCAGCATTGCAATCCGGCCCGCGAGCCCTATGGAAGCCCAGTTTAGGATTATGGTTCATCCGAGTTCAGTAGCAATAGCACCACGACACCCTGCTGTTCTTCAGTGAGGTACGCTGGCTGAGTCGCGGCGCCATGCTGTCCCGTGTTTGGGAGCTCAGGCAGGACATCACGAGCTTCCTACATGAAAAAGTTCGCCATACGCCGAGAAATTCAGTGATTCCAGGTGGCTGGCTGACCTGGCACTGCTCACGGACATCACATCACATCCCATCTGAACACGCTGAACACAAAACTTCAAGGAGAGGATCTTCTGCTCCCCGACATGTATGCGCATGTCACTGCCTTCGAGGTGAAGCTGCGTCTGTGGGAAGCCCAGGTAGATCGAGGACAGCTTGACCACTTCCCTCGCCTGGCCACCTGTGCTGCGGAAGATGTCGACCGCGACGGATGTGCCGCTGCTCTTGCCACTCTGCGCCAGGAGTTTACGAACCGCTTCGCTGGCGTTCGGGAGCTCGCTACCGACTTCAAGCTGGTGACAGCACCGTTCGACTTCAGTGTCGACGAAGCGCCGGTATCCCTGAGAGAGTCGGTGGAACTCCAAAGCAGTGATGAACTCAGAGGAAAGTTCCGAACCTATTCGCCTCTGCCCTTCTTCCGCGATGTCATTATCCCCACTGGCGGATACCCCAACTACATATCGCACGTCCAACGCATCGCTGCCATGTTCGGTAGCACGTACTGCTGCGAACAGCTGTTCTCCAAAATGAAGTACGTGAAGTCCCGCCTCCGATCCAGACTGTCTGATCGTCACCTGAATGACGTCCTCAGGCTGAGCTCGACGACATCTGTGGCGCCGAATGTCGAAGGGCTTCTTCACGGCAGGAAGCAGCACCACCCTTCGCACTAAAAACGAGGGTGCGGAATCGAAGGACGCATTCCGGTACCTTTCTAGGACAGCATGAAGGGAGTGACGTGGAGTATCGTGTCAATACAAATAGCATGTGAATCACAAGGTATTTTGTCTTCTTACGATCGAGAAAAGTTTTGCGGCATAAACCAAGAAACTAAACACAAACATCAAGGTAGCCCGCCGTCTCCAACTTCTTGAGGTACTTCTCAAATAAGTTGAGTCGTTATTTCTATGATTCCTAGTGTGTCTGTGCATTTTACAAAAGCAGACTTGATTTTTAGTACGGTTGTCATGGGTCAAAAGTCATTCGATTGTAAGTGTAACTATAGGTATTTGTCTCTGTCATGAGACAGTCATTGCCCGTCGTTAGTCAGTCGCGTCATAGCAACATAGCATCCATTTTAGTCATTGACAAACGAAACTCTGGCGAGCTTAGCACTCAGGCCCCCCAGTTGCTCACAAATGCAACACCCGGCCCGCGCTCCCAAAAGTTTGCCCGCCCCTGCTCTAGCTCAATCAGGGGCTAAACGCGAGGGGGGTTGTACCAACCCCCCCTTGTGCCGTCGAAGGACTCAAAATGGCCTGTGCCGGCGAGGGTTAAGACCCCAACAGGTGCAATGTTTGAGGTCAGTTTTGAAGAGAAATACAAGGTCGGCCGCAGGTACAGGGTGGAAAGTAATTACGCGAACATACTTTTTCGTCTTATAGCAATGGAAAAGCGGCGGTAACATGAAAATTTCATCTTTTCATATATTCCTATTTATGTGCAATACACTGACAAAGGCGTTCAGGCATAATTGACATGAGCATGTCAAGCACTGTTGGCCAAAGCTTAGTCCACGCCTCCTGGAGCTGTCTGGTGAGGCAATCGATGTTGGTGGCTACTAGCAGCTCTTAGACGCTCTCCTGAAGAGTCGCCTGGATATTTTTGATCAAATTGAGGCCTGGGCTATTCCCAGATTGACCATTATATGCCCAGAAGAAGAACGGGTTCTCAAAGCACCAGTCTTGCGTCTTTTTGGCCGTGAGAGGAAGGACTTTATCAATCATGAAGAAGAGTTTCTTTGCGTCGGGCACAAAAGTGCGCTCAATCATTTTGCCCCTTTTGGTGCATTGATGGATTAGATAAAGAGACTCGTCTGGAAGGATGTTCCACTAGTTGTATACTTTATTTTTGGTGGCCTTGTTGGTCACTACATGCAATTCTGACACCATCCGGGCGCTCATAACACGCTGATGTGTGTTCCTTTGCCGGATGTTTGAAGGTTGGGACGGGCGGGACGTCGGACGCATCAGCAGCCCCCAACGCGTTGTTCTGCAGGTTTGACGGATGAAATAGCTTCGAAGATGTCTCACCCAACCACAAAGCCAGCTGCCTGTCCTCCTCTGTTCAGGTTTGGCGGTCTTTAGAAAACTTAAATTGACAATCCTGCTGTTAATTCATGAATTTTGGCCATCTCGATTGTTTGTACGGCTTGATTTTCGAATTTTCACGGATTTATGCATGAATCGTGATATCTTAGATCGGGTACCCGGCCAAAGTAAACCATTTCGCCTGTTTTCGGGTCGACTGTTGTCGTTTGGTCGCGGAAATGGTGACCACCCATTCGGCGCCTGAATTCGCCGAGGTTTTACTGCCGCCAACGGCTTTGCTTTTTAAGTCCTCTTAAGTTTTATTATGCTTCAACCAAAGGTGTAATTGAGTAATGCTGGTGCCGAGACCGTTCCGAGTCCCTTCCGCACCAATCCAGCCAAAATAATCACAAACGCTTTCCCTGGCAACTTCAAATTGAGCTCTTTGCCCATTTTGGTCTTGAGCAGCGTATGGCGTCAGAACCACTCGAAGCCGAGAGGTGTTGTAGACTTTCCAAGTCATTTTTCAAAGTAAGGTCACTTTTGTTAGATGAGGCGACAACAAACACGACCAGTCATGTTCCATAACAGCCCGCGCTCATACAAAATCTCCACTGACGGGCGAAATTGTAAGAAAATACATGTTCGCGTAATTACTTTCCACCCTGTAAGTACTGAGTGAGTACTGAGTATGCACCGTGACTTACCAATGCACTCACTCCGCCAGATGCCATTTTCCCTAGACTTCTTTGCCCTCAACCTTCGCCCGTGGGAAAAGCAAGGCCACTCCTGGGAACTATTCAGAGTGTCGCTCACCTATCAGATAACAGACTGTTCATAAATTCTGACCAAGAATACTCCAGTCTCGTCTGCTACCTCTGTAGATCCGACTGACGAACTTCTCGAACTCAGGTAAGAACTGGCCTGATTTGCATTACCTAACCTGGAGTCATGAGCGTTGAATTGAATTGTACTCTTCTTGAAGTGTTAAGCGTCGTAAGGAAGAGACGCGGAAGGAAAACTCCCATGAAGAATACGGCATATTTTAGTTGAGCATGAATCCTCAAGTAAGACCAAAAGAAAATGACAAAATTTCCAGTCTGGGTACGTTCGAGTACGACTCTATTATTATAGTCATCGATTGATTGATAAAGAGTCCTGAATGTAACTTGCTTTGTATTTTATCTATAGCCATTTCTCTTAAGTCTTCTCTTCGAAGTTCGTTAATAGAAATACCATTGGGTAATGAAACATTGTTAACCCTCGCCGGACCTACATATTGGTTTTCTACATACTCGCCGGCCGAGGGGGGAGCGGGTACCTACGACCCCCCTCGCCGTTTCGCCCCTGAAGGAGCTAGCGCGTCGTGGAAAAAACAGGCGTGTGCGCCGTTACGAGACGCAGAGATTAAAACCCGATTTTAAGGTCCTAGGTCAACTGGTGACCTCTGAGGTCAGGTCAAAAGCCTCAAGGTACGGTTCGGTGTTGGTGAGTAACTTCGCAAAAAAACGGCCGCAGAGCCGCGATTTTGGCAGCATCATGTTCGCCTCGCTCAGGCGCGTCGAGTGATATGCTTCTTATTTGGGTCAGGTCAACTTAGGATGTTGACCTCAGGTCACGGTCAGGTCAGCGCCCCCAGGTCACGAAGTTGGTCAAAAGAGGTCATGTCGCATATCATTCGATTCGGCAGGTCTTCCTGAGTCCATTGGTGGCTTTTCCGACTCGCTAGCCCAATTTGATCGGGAGTTATTGACGAAAAACTAATATGACCTTGATGACGTCATAAATGACGTCACGCAAGGTCAACATTGCAAAAGCGACGCACCTACCCTCGCAAGGAGTGCATCAAATCACGATTCTGTGTGCTTGAGATAGTTGAAGATCGTTCCCGGCGCCAGAATAGCAGTTTTCATTTTTTCCCCATTGACTTATAATGGTGATTGGTGAAGTCACGAAAATGACCTTACCTCATATGACCTTTAGGAAAAATCCGAGATAAACAAGTTGTGAGACTCGTAATGGATACTAGATCCTGCAAGTTTCATTTCCCTGTGAAAGCTCCTCTGGTAGTGAGGGCGTTGCGAAGTTGCGACATCTGAAGACCGTGCAGAGGTTCACTTATGACGTCATAGGTCAGTGACCTGACTTGACCCGAAAATGCGATTGGTGTCAAAAGATCTGGCTTGAATCAAAGATCGGGTATGCCAAGTTTCAGCTCTCTATCGCCAGCGCGATCGATGCTATCGCGAAAAAAAAACCTATTGGGGGGGGGCGGCGGCCCCCCTCGGCCGGCGAGGGTTAAATATGAAATACCATTTGCTTGAAATAGGTTTGATTTTTTTAAACTATGCTTGTTATATAAAATACCTAGGAAATTCAATTCCTTTTAGCATGAAGATCGTGCTGGTCGCGCTGCTGGTGGGCGCCGCCTCGGCGTTCGTGGACAGGACAGAGTGGGAGGCCTTCAAGCAGAAACATGACAAGTCCTACGTCAACCCTATCGAGGAGTTCTACAGGATGAAGGTAATGCTGAACTGATGTACCTACAATATGTATGCAGACTCATGATAAGTTGGCAGCGCCGCAGCTTTTCCGTTTTTTTTTTTCTCTCAAAACAAACATGGTTCCATTATATCTTCTTCTGGTTCAGAGACAAAAGACGACAGTGAGAAGTACCGCCATGAACCCTAAGCAGCATGGAACTACCTCTAACACTGATCTGTTGCGCCTTCTTAGGTGTACGCGGACAACAAGGTTCTGGTCGACAAGCACATGAAGGAGTACGCCGAGGGAAAGCACACCTACACCCTGGCCCTCAACAAGTTCGCGGACTTCACCACGGAAGAGTTTTCTCGCATCTTCAAGGGTGTGAAAATCGGCAGCACTAGGCCGCATGCCATCCACAAGGTAAGGCATCAAGATGCAAAACAGCATTAACACTTTCCGAACTAGAAAGTGTATACCTAAAGTGAGCACGATTCCGACCATCAGCAGCGCTCGCTGCCCGAGTCTCAATAAAGCTCACAGCGGTAGAGTGGTTCGTCAAAGTCAGAATAATAATATCGGAGCTTCTCCATGTGTTTTACAGCACTCCGGAAAGGCCGCCCCTGAGTCTGTGGACTGGCGCGAGGCAGGTGTGGTGACGCCGGTCAAGGACCAGGGCCAGTGCGGCTCGTGCTGGTCGTTCGCCACCACCGGCACTGTGGAAGGTGCCTGGGCGCTGGCCGGCAACTCGCTCGTCTCGCTCAGCGAGCAGCAGCTGGTCGACTGCTCCACCGAAAACTTTGGCTGCAACGGCGGCTGGATCGACACCTCGCTCAGGCAAGTCCATTCGATAACTCATGAACAAATCGAAAAAAACGTTGCAGAACGTGGTACGCACATATTAAACAATATTAAAAACAATATTAACAGTTCTTACTTGCAGGCAGATAAATCTTGCGTGCGTTTATAACCACTGTAGTAATTAGTAGAGTAAAACCCATTGTTCTCTAGCCTGACATCGCGCATTTTCACATCGACAGCTACATCATCAACAATGGCGGCATTGAATCGGAGGACTCCTACCCGTACACGGCCCGGGACGGCACGTGCTCAGTCAGCGGGAACAGCGTGGTCACCCTGACCAGCTACGTGGACGTTCCCTCGGAGAGCGAGAGCGACCTGCTGGACGCGGTCGCCACCGTCGGCCCCGTGGGCGTCCTGATCGACGCGTCGCACCACTCCTTCCAGCTGTACTCCGGCGGTGTGTACAACGAGCCACACTGCTCGACCTGGCGCCTGGACCACGCCGTACTGGCCGTCGGCTACGGCACCGAGAACGGCCAGGACTACTGGCTCGTCAAGAACTCGTGGAACACCGACTGGGGCATGGACGGCTACATCATGATGAGCAGGAACGCCGACAACCAGTGCGGCATCGCCACCACTGCCTCTTACCCTATTGTGTAGATTACCATGCGCTGAAAGATGCTGTATGTTGTGTGTCCTGACAGCAGCCCCTGGAATTTAATTAAGTTACTTCGCATTTGTTTTAATCCGGCTATTTACTTTCCACTGTTTACATGAGCCCCATGTGAAAGTGCATCAAAACCAGATGCTAAACAAGCGTTTTTTTTGCGTGTGTGTCTACGAGTATTCTGTTTCTGTACAGACATTTCAAAATTGTATTATAGGTATGGTAAAATTGGGCTGCTGTTCTTGAATTTGTAATTTCTACCGTTTATATCCTAGAAGTTTGGAACCCGGGTTATTGCATGAGGGAATTAGCACTAACAATCAGGCATGTGCATGGATCCGACAAAATGGATCAAGGCTAACCAGACTAACCTTGCCTGAGACCAATTTTGAAGTTAAGTTTTTCAGGTTAACCCTCGCCGGACCTATTGGTTTTCTACATACGCGCCGGCCGAGGGGGGGGGGTACGACCCCCCCCTCGCCGTTTCGCCCCTGGTGGAGCTAGCGCGTCGCGGAAAAAAACGAGCGTGTGCGCCGTTACGAGACGCAGAGATTGGTACCCGATTTTAAGGTCCTAGGTCAACCGGTGACCTCTGAGGTCAGGTCAAGTGCCCCAAGGTACGGTTCAGTTTTTGGTGAATAACTTCGCAAAAAACGGCCGCAGAGCGCCAATTTTGGCAGCATCGTGTTCGCCTTGCTCAGGCGCGTCGAATGATATACTTTTTGACCGGGTCAGGTCAACTTGGGGTGTTGACCTCAGGTCAAGGTCAGGTCAGCACCCCCAGGTCACGAAGTTGGTCGAAAGAGGTCATGTCGCATACCATTCGATTCGGCAGGCCTTCCTGAGTCCATTGGTGGCTTTCCCGACTCGCTAGCTCAATTAGATCAAGAGTTATTGACGAAAAACTAATATGACCTTGATGACGTCATAAATGACGTCACGCAAAGTCAACATTGCAAAAGTGACGCATCTAACCTTGCAAGGAGTGCATCAAATCACGATTCTGTGTGCTTGAGATAGTTGGAGATCGTTCCCGGCGCCAGAATAGCAGTTTTCATTTTTCCCCATTGACTTAGGTATAATGGTGAGGTCACAAAAATGACCTGACCTCATATCACCTTTAGGAAAAATCCGAGATATAAAAGTTGTGAGACTCGTAATGGATACTAGATCCTGCAAGTTTCATTTCCCTGTGGCATCTCCTCTGGCAGTGAGGGCGTTGCGAAGTTGCGACATCTGAAGACCGTGCAGAGGTTCACTTATGACGTCATAGGTCAGTGACCTGACCTGATCCAAAAATGCGGTTGGTGTCAAAAGATCCGGCTTAAATCAAAGGTCAGGTATGCCAAGTTTCAGCTCTCTATCGCCAGCGTGTTCGGAGCTATCGCGAAAAAAAACCCTATGGGGGGCGGCACCCCCCCCCCCCTCGGCTGGCGAGGGTTAATTTATAGTTCATTCGAAGCGTCTCGATGAGACGCTTCGAATGAGACACGTAAGGTCGAATCGACCTGACTCTTAACATATGCAGGGGGTGACTCTGACCTTATAGAGCGGGGACTGATGCCCTATACCTACAGCAAGAGGATGTGACCTGGTGAGGAAGGAGATTCTGAGCTCTTGCAGCGGTAACTCTGACCTTTTAGGACGGGAGACCGGAGAACCTGACCTTATAGAGCAGGGAACTTGGACGTCTTAACTTATGGAGCGGGAGATCTGATCTTGTACACTGGGTTCCGACCTGACCTTATACAGAGAGTGACTGACCTAAAAGCGAGTGACTCTGACCTTATAGAGCGGGTGACTCTGACCTTATAGAGCGGGTGACTCTGACCATAGACTAGATAACTCTGACCTTATAGAGCGGGTGACTCTGACCATAGAGCGGGTGACTGACCTTATAGAGCGGGTGACTCTCGCCGGTCAGGGTGGACTCGTCCACGACACAGGTGCCGCGCAGCAGGACCACGTCGCAGTCGAGCGAGAACGGACAGTCGGCGGGCAGTTGGAGCACCTCGCCGGGCACCAGGTCGCGGGACGACATCTCCAGCGCTGCCAGTCGACACGGCACCGTCACAGTGGACAGCAGATGGACACAGTGGGGTCAGCAGATGGACACAGTGGACAGCAGATGGACACAGTAGGGTCAGCAGATGGACACAGTGGACAGCAGATGGACACAGTGGACAGCAGATGGACACAGTGGACAGCAGATGGACACAGTAGGGACAGATGGACACAGTGGACAGCAGATGGACACAGTAGGGACAGATGGACACAGTGTACAGCAGATGGACACAGTGGCAGCAGATGGACACAGTGGACAGCAGACGGACACAGAAGGGTCAGCTGGACACAGTGGACAGCAGCTGGACACAGTAGGGTCAGCAGATGGACACAGTGGGGTCAGATGGACACAGTGGAGAGCAGCTGGACACAGTGGACAGCAGCTGGACACAGTGGTCAGCAGATGGACACAGTGGGGTCAGCAGATGGACACAGTGGACAGCAGATGTAGACAGTGGACAGCAGATGGACACAGTAGGGACAGATGGACACAGTGGACAGCAGATGGACACAGTAGGGACAGATGGACACAGTGGACAGCAGATGGACACAGTGGCAGCAGATGGACACAGTGGACAGCAGACGGACACAGAAGGGTCAGCTGGACACAGTGGACAGCAGCTGGACACAGTAGGGTCAGCAGATGGACACAGTGGGGTCAGATGGACACAGTGGAGAGCAGCTGGACACAGTGGACAGCAGCTGGACACAGTGGTCAGCAGATGGACACAGTGGGGTCAGATGGACATAGTAGGGTCAGCAGCTGGACACAGTAGGGTCAGCAGATTGACACAGTGGACAGCAGATGGACACAGTAGGGTCAGCAGATGGACACAGTGGACAGCAGATGGACACAGTAGGGACAGATGGACACAGTGGACAGCAGATGGACACAGAAGGGTCAGCAGATGGACACAGTGGACAGCAGATGGACACAGTAGGGTCAGGAGATGGACACAGTGGACAGCAGATGGACACAGTAGGGACAGATGGACACAGTGGACAGCAGATGGACACAGTAGTGTCCGCGGCACCACGGTCAGTCACAGTGGGCAGTTGTCGTGGTCACATTGGGGTCAGCCATCCCCCGGTTACAGAGCCAGTAAACGAACTTTTGCTGGGGGACACAGCCAATGGTTCTCGTACACTGAAAACACGATCTAAACTGAACTGACACTAAACAAAATATACAAAATAACACGAGGTCAAAATGATTTACAAACAGTAATAAATGTTACAAACAAAGTGGGGATATGTGTTTTAACAATCAGCTGATCAGTATAACTTGGTTTCTCAAAACCAGAGCTTAATCAGTTGAGCGAGCACGCACAGCTGCGGCGTGGCCTAGGGCGCACGCCACCAGCACAACCTTGCGGCGGTTACCGTAACTACGATTTGACGTTCCTGGCGGATATAGGCTTTGAGCCGATCGCTCACCTTCTCCGTTTCGCATTGTCACCACCTTCATGTGGGACTTGATGTGCTTGCGCAGGGCCAGAGTTTGCTGTAACGCAGCGCAGAGGTAGGGCACTGCAGTTAAACGAAAATTCTCGAGTCTTGGTAGAAGCAGGTCACAGGCTAAAGGTCACTGGGGTCAGAGTGAACTTTTCAGAGTATGATGTAAAATTGACAAAAATGAGGGTAGGGGAGAGTGGTGCAGGAGGCCCCCCCTTAAGCTCAGTTACTATTTTTAGACAACTGATAATATTTAAGCGCTAACGTGTGCATGCGCTGTGAGCATGCATCATTTTCCCATACATATTTGCATTCAAAATGAATCTAGGGGGTACACAAACCGTAAACTTTAACATTTTGGAAAAAGTTGCAAAAGGGCCTCTTACACTATGGGTATGGTAAGACGCCCCCCCCCCCTCGGGCGTTTTAAAAGTCAAGTCGACTTGTAAAAGACGCTTTGCGAACACAGCTGCAAGGCCTTTTATTTCGAAAAGCTAAGCAAATACGGTGTTATCGAAACCAATAACACTTCCAAAGCGCTCGAACAATGCGAAAACTAGCACAACCAAACGCTGATGACCAACGAAAATTGTACCTATAACCTCTAAGAAAAGAAACAGAAAAAAGAAACAAAAACAAACTCCTTGAAAAAAGAATGCCACGCCTGCCGCAGGTGCAGGCGTTTTAGCATCGGGGGCGTTTTTTTATCGGGGGGCGTTTTATCATCCTCGAAGGGAGGGCCTCTTAAAAAAATACAGTGTTTTAACGTCCACAATATTTATGGTTTATGAGACATTTGCAGCGCACCAGAACATGGTCTATTCTGAAGCTAACATATGACAATTTCGATGAGAAAAGATTGCATTTGATAGCCATTGTTTTTTTTTTCAGATATATAAGGGTGATAAAGATGCATATATCTAGCAAGTAAAGGGGCAAAAACAGAAACAGGCTTACCAAAAGTCGCTGCGACGCACCTGATACCTCAGGTTTCGTGAGTTGTTGTTTCAAGAGGGCTTCTGCTTTACAAGAACATTAAAAAATAAATAACATTATTGGTTTGGTAAAAAAAGCGATGGGGCCTCTTACCGACCCTGGGCGTCTTACACGGATCTCCCCTACTAGGCGTTCATCGATGTTCGTCACTCTTTACGCGAGTTATCCATGACAAAGTACGAGGTACCATCCGACTACATATTTCATACAGTCAGCAGACACTCCCAGTCAGTCTATTGACACTCCCAGACAGTCCACAAAACTCCTATACAGTCCACAGCATAGACCCGGGAACAGGGGGGGCAGCGGGGGCGCTTGCCCCCCCCCCCCCCAACTTGAGAGCCGAGGGGGCGGCGGCCCCTCAACATTGAGGCAGCGAGAAAAGATCTTTCCTCCCTTTTCCGGACTTTTTTCCTTCTTGTTTCCTTTATACATCTACGCATCAACACATGGCATTTTCCTTGCCATCTGAATGGTTTCTGCTGATACAGTAGGCATCGATTTGACAACATCTGCTATTGACTATTGTCATTCCGCTTTGATTTGGGCCTGATCGTGGCCATAAGTTTGGCAGGCCAGATTTTATACTGCACCAGCTTGAGTCAACTTTGAGAAATACATAACGTACAAGGTGGTAAAATCGTTGCTATTATAGGTATAACACAGTTTACCCGCTCCGGATGTGATGGAGGGGTGTGGGGCAATGAGTGCACTGACGTGGCGCCCTCGGAGGGCCGGTATGGGATTAAAGCTCAGCGACACTAAGGGCTTGTGTGGTGCCTTCGGTTATCGATAGCACCCTCAGAATCACCGGCGTAGGGCCCTCAGAGCCGCCGGTAAGGGGCCTTTAGAGGCACTGGTGTGGGGCCGCCATGCAGGTGCCGGTGTGGACGCTCAGAGGTGCTAGTGTGATTCTCTCAGAGGCGCCGATGAGGGTCCTTACAGGCGTTGCTGTGGATCCTCATAGACGCTGGTGTGGGGCCGTTACAGACGGGTGTGGGGCCTTTAGTGCTGCTGACGCGAACTCTCTACAAGCCGGCAGGGAGTCTCAGTGACCGGCAAGGGGACCTTACGCCGGCAGAAGTCCTGTGGGGTCCTTAGAGACCGGCCCTCATAGGCGCCGACGAGGGCCCCACAGTTGCCGTTATGGGGCCCTCAGAAAATTAAGTGTGGGACCATGCACCGGCGGGAAATGCCCCTTATAGAACTGGCACTTCATAGGCCGGTAAGACCTCTCAGAGGCCAGTAACGGGCCTTTGGAGATCACCGAGGTGTCCATAAAAGCCGCAAGAGGCCCTCAGACGCCGGCGTCGGACCCTTATGGAGATCTTAGTGTGGCTATTTAGGGCCCATGAGGTGCTCTGACGAGCCCCATGGGGCCCTTCTGAGTAGAAATATGGCCATCGTTAACCCACAGCGGTCAAATGGCGCCGCAGGGCCCCTCGGACCCGAGGGTCCCCTTTATCCCGATGCTTTAGTGTCCCCTTAGACCCCTAGCTACGCCACTGTTTCATATGCATCATGTCAGGTATTTTAGGCTCGCCCCCCCAACTTGAAAATCGTTCCCGGGCCCCTGGTCCACAGACACTCTCAGACACTCGTTAGACAGTACCAAATCCCAGACGGTCTAGACACTCCCAGACAGTCCACAAACACGCCTACACAGTCTACAGACAATCCCAGACACTCAGAAGACATTCCCAGACAATCCACAGCCCGCAGAAAATCCACAGAGTACACTCACCCGGTGGGACTCATGGTCGGCAGACGCTCCCAGACAGCACAGTTCACAGACACTTCCACACAGTCCACAGACACTCCTATACAGTCCACAGACACTCGCATACAGTCAGCAGACACTCCACAGACACTGTCAGACACTCCACAGACACTCCCGTCTCCCAGACACTCCACAGAGTACCTACACTCACCCGTCGGGACTCCCAGACGGTGAGACTGATGGACAGTGAAGCGGTCACCATTAGGGCGATGGCAAACTCCCAGTAGCCGCTGAACAGCCACAGCAGCAGCGAGTACAGCTGCATAATGTAGAACGGGTTCACGCCCTGCCAAAACAGCATACAGGGATCAAATAGTACCTACCACAGCAGCAGCGAGTACAGCTGCATAATGTAGAACGGGTTCACGCCCTGCCAAAACAGCATACAGGGATCAAATGGTATCGAAGCCTAAATTAACGTCGGTCGTGCCATTATCAAAATGCTATGGAAGCTAATGCAAAGTAAGTTTGACAAACGGCGAAAACGACCCCACTCTGCTGAGAGCAGGGTTTTGTCTGACATTCATTATACGACAGATAGTGCACGGATATTTATGGTTCCAGCTTAAACTGTCACTGTTGCACGACTTAGTTTCTGCACATTAACGTTTTGCTGTGATGTGTTCCCACCGACCTGTTCGTAGATAAGACGGGGTATTGACGGGGCCTTTATTTTTATATAGTTTTCGCCGAACAGACGAGATCGACGCAGGTATTCCTCGCGGCTGAGACCCGTGTCGAGGTCGGTGCATAACTCCGAACATAGCGTATCGGGCTGCAGAAAACTGGAACAGAGTCGCAGATCAGGAGCTCAGTCGGTGGCGCATAGGAAGGAAGTATTTCAATTTTCAGTCAATCGCAGTTAACCCGCGCGGGGCTGGGGTCTCCAGCCGAACGCGCGGGGCTGGGGGGGGGGGTAAATTTTACCCCCCTGTTATCTCCCGAACTAATGGTCCGATTTGGAAAATTCAAACGCCAATCGAAAGCTCTCATCACGAACTACTAAAAACATGTACTTAATTTAAAGTTTGAGGTCAAGGTCAAGGTCAGGTCAAGGGTACAAATTGCAAGTTTCTACAGTATCGGCCTTGCACCGTAGTTGCCGAAGAATGGAGTCATGGACTGAGACTGATCGCCCAAAACGTGTTCTTAGGCTACCAAGACAATATTCGTTGCATACAATATCATTCAGAGGTCAAGGTCAAGGTCAGGTCAGGTCAGGTCAGGTCACCCAAAAACAAAATATAGAAAAGGGCATGTGCGACACATGTTTTATGGGTCATTTTACTCATAGAATTCAATAGGCACACTCAATAAGTGATATGGACCACCTCTGGATGAATTTCAGGTCGAGGTCAGGTCAAGGTCAGGTCAAGTGAGGTCAAATTTTAAAGTTGGTTGTTAAGGCCTAACAAGGTGTCTATCTGATGCAGTTTTTCACGGCAAATCGAATGGTGCTATTTTTGTTTCCGTACGAGGTCTAGAACTTCCAAAAAAGTCATTTTTCAAAAAAATTGTGTGTCGTGACGTCATAAAATTTTGAATAACTCCCACATTTTTGAACCAATTCTTCTAAAATTTGGTATGTAGGTGCACATAGACCACTTCTCTGACATATATTCCGGTTTTTTCGATAGACTCAAAATTTTGGATTTTATAATGATTTTCCCAAAAAAGTCAGTTTTTTGAAAAAAAATTTAGGCCAAAATCCAAAATTTTCAAAAAACCGAGATTACCATTTGATAGACAAAGTAAAATTACGTATAACCTTTTTTTGTTACGTCTTGATTCCTTTAAAAATGAAGATGTTAGTGGCGTTTGAACTTTTGCCGTTTTTGAGGCGAAAATGGCGAACATGACGTCACTAAAACGTCAATTTCTCAAAAATTTTCCGACGTATTTCGCTCAAATTTTCAGGGAACGTGTCAAATTGATGTAAGAAAAGGTACTGAAAGTTTGGCGGCGCTGCGCGCCGCCGTTTTTGAGATATCGCAAAAATTCGCGAGGGGGGTAAAATTTACCCCCCCCAGCCCCGCGTGGGTTAACAATGTAACTGTGCAGAGCATGTGCGGGCTAAATGTCAGATTAAAAGTCTCTCGGAACATTTTTCACATCTGACTCGGCAATGAGAACTACATACATATAGTGGATGCAAAATAGACAACAAACAAGGCCACCTTTATGCATATGGGATTAAATAAAATATTGTCAATTACAAAAAGCTATCCAAACTTCACATCAGAGTAGGCACAAATGTGCCACTAGCTTTGGCAGGAACCCTGCACCAGCTGCCACGTCAGTATAACGAGAAAAAAAACGACAGAATCTGAATGGGATAAGTCAGGGCTGCGCTATCAACGATGTTGTTCCATACCTCAGTCTGACGAAGTACTGCGCACCGCTGTCCCAGACGTACTTCACTCGCTTGTTGATGAAATGTCTGGGGGTAGTAATGCCAGCTGCGTCTTCCCGCTCCTTTGTGATGTTTTCATGGAATGTTTGTCCATAGCCATCCTGGAAAGTAAAAGGATATAAATGAAACCTTTCTGTTGCGGAACCATGCTCAAGTTCTAAAAAGGACAATGATGTAACGCCGGAAAGCACTTATGGTGGCTTTGTGTGTGGGCTGTGGGGGTGCAGCAATTGTCACGCAGAAACATCGATAATAAATATCACGAAGAAACGTGACTTGGGTACAGCCATATACCTACCTACACCTACTTAGTGGATTACACGGCACACACGCAACACAGTTGACCGAAATGCGTGCACTGTAGCGGTATACGTATTTGTTGCTACCAATCCTACCCGGATATATATACCTATGCCGTGAGGTGGTGAGTCTGAGTGCCCATCTCCCCCTCTGCAATTGGTTCAATGTCAAACTACGCTTTCAATGTAACTCAATGTTTTCAATGTTCAACTCAGTCCACTAACGTGATGATGGCCGTGCAACTGACATAGAGAGCCTTCCCGTCTCACCACGCTGAGAGCCTGGCCCCTTCTCTCACAGTTATCTCCCCTCACTGCACTCAGAGCCACCGCTTCTCACCGTGATCAGCACGGAGTCGGCCTCGGCGAGCGTGCAGGGCCGTTTGGTGAGGCGCAGCTGGATGGCCGGTTTCCAGGAGAGGGGGATCAGCAGGAGGCCGCCGGTGAGCAGAGTCAGCAGGCTGGTCAGCGCCAGCCGGGTCCGGTCACTGCGGTACCCCTGCAGCTCCTGGCGGCGGGCAGCGCGGCCGGTCAGACAGAGAGAGAGGGGGAGGTGGGGAGAGAGAGAGAGAGGACTAGTACCCCTGCAGGAATCTGAAGATGTCGCAATAGGGGCGTTCCACGACAAATCGACAAATGAAAAATTAAATTTGCGCCCACGTACTTTATTCTTTGTTGAAAACTGGTGTAAGGGGTTGTGATGGGCGGGGAAGCCAGCTGTGGCAAGGATTTTTTCTTCGAACAACGGTTTCCGAGATATAGCCTCGGGCAATTCCTGGAGGTCACGCTGCAACCCTATGTTTGGCGGCTTATAACTCAGAAACTATTGGTTTTCTATGATAAAAACCTTATATAGTTCAACTCACAATCAACCAACAACTCACAAACACAACAAACAATGACCTTTATATTTTCCCCACTGAAAGTTGCAATTTTGTCTGATGACAATTAAAGCCTTATCAATTGTCATTCATATGCGATAATAAAAAGTGGCTATCGCCCTGCGTTGACCTCAGGTCAGGTCATTTTTATGACCTGTACATTATTACGAGCGGGAGCGACAGCGAGATCTCGAGAATATAGCAAGATAGCGACAAGCGGTAAACGGAACAGGATTCACACGGATAAGGTCTACAATTTTTACTGAGCTCATTTTCAGGTCTGGTCAAAGATGACGTCACAGGGGTAAAAAGAAAGTCAAAATAGTTTTGGCTGTACCTTTTGATCTAATAAAGAAAGAGACGTGGAACAGCACCATTGTGTTTGCTTTGGCCTAGCGCCAGTTGCTTTGAATTTCGATATCGATGATCTAAGGTCAGGTCAATTTCTTGACCATCCCATTAAAAGTCAATTGGGGAAAAATCGGCTCGCTTACTTTTAAACTAAAACACGTCGGAATCGCCTAATATACCATGAGTGACTTCATATAGGGTCAACTTTGCCTACCTTGAGACCCTTTTTTGCTCTTGGGCAACTTTAAGGTCATGTGACGTCATTAAAGGTCACCAAAGGTTTGTGAGCAGGGAGAATGGTGGACGAGTGAGCCGGGATCGGTGTTTAAAACATTTAACTGACGCCTGTATGTGACAAAAGTGAGTCAGTCCGCCGATATCGTCGGCAGCCGGGCGCCGTCATTGGCCGCACTTTCACCGGATCGTTGTTTGACCAACACCGAAAGGTGTCTGACGCCGCCCAGTGGCCAAACGGTCCGATCATCCCGCATTGGGTCATCGGGAGCAGCGGTGTAGACATCTAGAGCCATTGTGTCGCTCCATGGCAGCGCACTGTTTCAGCGCCCTGACCCGATCCTAGCGTCAGCCGGCAGCGGCCAGGGCCAGTTAAATGGGTCGGCCTTCCACTCTAATTAGGGCTCGATCCACTCCTGATGGACCGTTTCCGTATACCAACAGTGTGGTGGGCCGGTGCGAGGACGTGACTGTTTGTTATGCAAGCATACACACTACACACTTTACACAGCTTATGACGGTGCGAGCGGTGCAGAGCTGTAGGCGGAGTAGAGGTGTAGGTAGGTGATCGAAGTAGTGCCGTTAAAGGTGGACGAGGGTTAGAGTAGAGGTATGGCGTCAGTGGCGAGGAGCAGTATAGTGTTGTACGTGGGCGAGGAGTAGAGGTATAAGTGGGCGCGGAGTGCTGTTGGTAGAGTAGTGTTTTGAGTGGAGTAGTGCTTTGAGTGGGGGTGTGCTGTAGGTGGAGTAGTGCGGTAGGTGGGGTAGTGCTGATGGATAGGCTCGGAGCGCAGACTGAGCGGCGAGCAGGAGAGCCGAGTGCCGCCTGGTCCAATCATGTCACGTTCCTGACGGCACAGGGCCACTGCAAGATGAAGCAATGCGGCGCGCACGACGACCACATGGCGTCCAATACCCGGCCAACAAAGCATGCCGAGCGGGATCCAATCGGTTACGGGCCTCAGGGCCTTTTTACATTGAAAAGGTAAATATGCTAGTATTCGCACTCAATGACGCTTGATACGCATCTTGTTTCCGAAATATTGTCAACTTTCAAGTTCCATAACTTCTCGAAATTTTGAAGGAAAGAAAAAAGTATTGATTTCCAATTATTAGCCCGCTCACCTGCAGGGGGAACGGTTATCCCCTGAGGTTTTTCATAACCACGGCGGCGGCGCCCCAAAATATGACAGCACTGCTCCCTCATTAAATCCACACATTGTGTTTAACCCTCGCCCGCACATGGGGGGGGGGTGGTTGCCACCCCCCCCCCCAGGTAGTCTTTCTGCCCTGCACTCAACATGTTTAGAGCTAGAAGGCTGATTTTTCGTATAGCTGCTCCTCTATCATTTCTTGATGTCCACTGAAAATTTCAAGTTTCTGTGATTTTTGGTTTCGGAGATATGACCTTGTTTGTCAGGTCATGTCATGACCCAAATGGCCAATTCTCAACATCTTGCGTTTGCCATGGGCCTTGTGAGCTTTTGACACCTTGATTTCGGCCTTTTTTTGCCAGTCTTACCTCCCACCTATCATGGAACATGTTGTTCGACGATGTGCAGGGGTCAAGGTCAGGGTCAAGGTCAACCTAGGTCATCTAAGATAATTGCGTTTTAGGCAAGCTGAATTTACTTTTTGTGAAGTTTTTTTACTGCATTTTTGGTAAAAGCTTCTCAGATCATGATTTCATGTAATATGGACACAAAAACAATCGGTGCACACATCAGTATACACACAGACACACACAGACATACAAACACATATAACTGACCTTGACCTAACTTGACCTGAAATGACCTCAGCAGCAAAAATCTGGTCGGGTAGTGTGACAAAGAGGTTCTAGCTGGCTTGGCACCAGAAAACGGCATCGTCATCGGTATATGATAAGCAGCGCACTTGATATCCAACGGTGACCCAAAACAGCAACATTTTTTAGTTTGACCTGACCTGGAAGGTCAATGACTGACCTGAGAAGGTAAAATCGGGTATCATTGGATTCGTCTCTTCCCAAAGAATCTTTTTGGTCTTTACCGCTAAGCTCTATCTCCAACAGGAACGAAACGGCGCGGGGGGGGGGTGGCAACCCCCCCCCCCCCATGTGCGTTCTAGGATGGGAAAATTGCATGTGCGGGCGAGGGTTAATTAAGGTACAGCCTCTTACATTTTAAGTCAGGTCACTGCAGGCTGCTTTGAATGACCAAGCCTAAAATCACTTTTTGCAACTTTGCCACCGTGTCCAAGGCCCTTTGAAAGTTGCAGGATGTAATAAAGCAATCGGTACATTCCTACAGTTTCCGTATCTCGGATCGGATTTTTATTCATCGATTCAGTTCGAATTCTTGACCTCCCCATTATAAGTAGATGGCGGAAATACCATACGTCTCATTATTATTTCATAAACTCGCGTTGTAGTGGCCAATTCTACCATGAATGACATCTCATGAGCAGGTTTGACTGCCTAGATGCACTGTTTGCTATTTGACAACTCATGTAAGATCATGTGACGTCATCAAAGGTCAGTGGCGGATCCAGGGGGGGGGGGGGCAAAATGGGCATTTGCCCCCCCCCCCCCCCAACGGCATAATTTTAACATTACGCCTATGGACGATGCATGGAAAGAATCGATAAATTGTTATGGTTTGCCCCCCCCCCCAAAAAAAAAAAACTCTGAGCTGGATCCGCCTCTGTCAAAGGTCACCAAAACGTTTATTGCTAATAACTTCTAACATAAAAGAGGTACAGCCAAGCGCCTGTTCCCAGTGTGTTCAGCCTGTAAAGACGCATCAAATGACATGCATGTTGACATCGAGGTCACGTGGCATGAGCTCAAGCTTCGACCGTACCCTTTCGTGGTCAACATGTGTCAACATTTCTAAATTATGTTTAGTACCTACTACCTACACAGATAATGGCATCATTTTTCAGGTCTCAATCCCATTTAAATAGAAAGAGGTACTGAAAGTTTCGCCATTTCTAACGGTACCTACTGCCGGAAATAAGGTGAAGAAAAAATACCTATAGCATACCTAAATACCTACCACATTGCTTTTGAGTTGCGGTGATCTTGAGGGAAGAATGCGATATCAAAAAGCCGCGCTCAGTCGGCTAGTCCACTATTGGAGTGATGGCAATTTTTTTACCCATAAATAGGCACCGAACGATATACTAACAGCGCTATTGCTCTACATATTGCATGCTCTAATTATTACGGCCGAAGTGTCGACCGGCTCCATGGCCTAAGAGCTCTTCTATGTGCCCGTCCTTAGGTTATACAGTCTGACTTCTGACACACTAATCACTAATTACCTAACGAATTACGGCATAGTCATACGATCTCATGCCGCACGCACCACCAGTAGGCTGGCTGACGACCATTGTGTTAACATACCCCGGTCCGTTCTAATTGCCGGCCTCAGTCGGCGGACGTGACGGACCGACACCTCCCTGACGGATGTGACGGCCGCCGTCACGGGTCACACGCGTCACGCGCCGTGACATAATGGGTGGGTGTCACATCAGCCGACCGGCGGACCAGTGAGACCGGGGGTCGGCGGGGGCTAGAGGGGTCGGTGGGGTTTGGTGGAGGACTGGTGGGGATCGGCGGGGGGCTAGAGGGGTCGGTGGGGGCTCGGTGGGGTTCGGTCAGGGTTCGGCCGGGTTTGGCGGGGTTCGGTCAGAGGGAAGGGAGGGGGTACATACTTTACAGGGTGCTTCCGGCAGTTCCAGAACCTACCTGGATCTCGCTGTCAGGGTCGCCGCCCCCAGGAAACTGCGGACCGCCGTTAGCGGCCATGGCTCGGACGTCTGGCAGCCGAGGTCCTCACAGCCCACCGCCGACACTCCGCGAGTACCACACCACCACACCGAGGAGCTCGCGGTCTCCGGGCCAGCGCCCCACGCCCCCGACCCAGCGCGACACGCTCCCGATCGCTCTCCGGTCCCCCACCGCCGGCGCCGCTGATAAACTCAAGGACAAACACCAGTGTCGACGGCGACGAACGGCCCGACGAACACGACCGGCGCGGCGGAGACAGCGACGAACCGCCCGCGGCGACCAGCGGCGCACGGCGACCAAAGGCGGCGCGGGTGACGCGGTGGACTGGCGTCCACGTCGAGACGCCGGGTCAATCTTATCGGCGGCTCTGATAGTGTGAGTCAACTGCCGATCGGCGCCAGGCGAGTGAGCACGACCGGCTCGACACACTTCCGGTCAAGGTGCATGGGTGAATATATTCCTGCCCGGGGCCGGGATAATTCAATAAATGTCACCGAGGTTTTTTAGCGAAAACTACGAGGGCCGTTAGGCCCGAGGTGATTTTGCTTAAAAAAAAGCGAGGTGACATTTATTGAATTCCCGGCCTTAGGGCTGGAAGGTGTTTCCCATACCTGCCAAAAAGCTCACAACTATAATTGATAGTGACGTCAGCAGCCGTGTGGTTCAACGCGTTTAACCACACCCCTTGAACCACACGGCTGGCAATATTAAGCACTGCATTAAACTTTGAAAAGTGTGGTACAGTGCACGTGCCATTAAAATGCCTGGATGTCTCGATTTAATCATGCAATGTAGCAGGTATGGGAAAATGCAGGGTTACCCAGCAAATATCGATGAAATTGAATTACGTGGATACGCCAGTGCCACCAGTGACCAGCAATACTGTTATCAGTTGGCCAGCCTCCGACATTGACAAAACTTAATGATCGCCGAGTTCTGTTATCTGATTTATTCATTTCCGTTACCCAACACTTCAAAACTCATAAATTCGATAGCAGGGGTGCGGAGCCGGAGCCGGAGCTGGAGCCGGAGCCGCCGGAGCAGACATATTTTGCCCGGAGCCGGAGCCGGAGCCGAAGCTGTGAAACAATATAGCCCGGAGCCTGAGTCGGAGCCGGAGCCGTCAAAAAAGGGGCGACTCCGGCTCCTTTTTTGGAAGAGGAATTGTTTTGGCCTAGTTCGGTTTGACGGTTCAAGGCAGCAAAACATGCGTTATTCAAAACATGAAAATAGCCTTGTTATGCAAATACAGAAGCAACGTGCACCAATCCCATCGTCTTTTTTCTTCCGCCCGTATTTAATAGTATATAGGGGATGTAATGAGTACTGGAGCCGGAGACGGAGCCACCGGAGCCGGACCATTTTACTCGGAACTGGAGCCGGAGCCGGAGCCGCCATGACATTTCATCCGGAGCCGGGGCCGGATCCGGAGCCGATTTTTCCCCGGAGCCGGAGCCGGAGCCGTCTGAAATTTCCACGGCTCCGCATCCCTGTCCAATAGGGTCAAGTCTGATTGTTCGAAAAAAGTGTTATCCCGGCAGGCGGTGGGCCTACCAGCCACCTTCCGCGCGGCGGGGGGGGGGGGGCACTTTTTTGCCCCCCCCCCCTATCTCCGAAACTACTGGACGGATCCGGAAAATTCAAACGGCGTTCGATAGCCCTGTCAAATTTGTTGAAGGAAACCAAATTTCATTGACCTCGGGGTCACCGATGACGTCACAGGTCAGGTCAAAGATAAAATGTTTCACCGTTCATGGGGCTTCTAGGGAAAGCGCTATAACACCGAGTAAAACGCATTTTGTCGAAAATCAGCGATAAGGCGTCAGTTGTCTAGTACATATGTTGCTATTAGAGGTCACTGGTCATACTAGGTCAGGTCACAGGTCAGGTCACCAAAGGTCACCAAGGGTCACCACATGAGCCCAACTTTACTAAGGTTATGCGATGCATGTTTTATGGCCAGTTTTTCATTTCCAACTCAATGGTGTTGGTTACAAGACATTCAGGTACGGTTTAGGACACTTTCTGGTGGAGGTCAGGTCAAGGTCAGGTCAAAAAAGGTCAAATTTCAAAGTTGATATTTTTGCATAAAATGGGTAACGATTCGATGCAGCTCGTCACGGGGAGTCTAATGGTGGCCTTTGTTTTGCGCTACGAGGTCTAGAATTGCTAAAAATTGAGTTTGAAAATTTGACGTCATCAATTTTGAACAGTTTTTTCGCTATACCTTGGCCAATAAAAGAGGTATCGATCTCAAATTTGGTATGTAGATAGAAGGCGGTAGGGGCTATCACATTTATTCCAGTTTTTTCGAAATTCAAAAAGTTTTTTGGATTTTTGGCTATTATATTCAAAAAATCTATTTTTTAATTTTTAGGGGTCAAAATCCAAAAAATTCGAAAAACCGAAATAGTTGTTTTGTAGCTCTTTTAATTCCACACCTTTTATGTCTGAAACATTTTTCTGTATCTCTAAAGCTGTAGGCCTGACAGCTCTTCCCGCGAAACCTTTTTTGGGTCGAAAATGGCAAAAATGACGTCACTCTGACGTCATTAGCGGCCAACCTATCATAGCCTTTGGAAAAATTTTTGGTCACCATGTGCGCTAGCTGCTCCCGGGAGGCTACTGAAAGTTTGGTGACGATCGGCGCAGCGGTTCTCGATATATATCGAAAAAACTAAAGGGGGGGGCAAAAAATGCCCCCCCCCCCCACCGCCTGGAAGGTTATTGGAAGTCAGGACGTAATGAAATATCCATTTCATGAATTTCATTCGGTGCCTTCGGCTTCAAGTGATGCCTTCTAGGCATCACTTCTACGCATCACTTCTAAGACTCGTTAGTCGTTGCTGGTGCGTCCAATAACCGTATGTATGTTCGGGCCATGCAACGCTTCGGCCCCGCGGGCAGTGAACTGTTCTCTGATGACAGCTGCCGAGCTCCTGAGTGACTGGACTGGATGACTGCACTCCTTTTGTCGCGGCTGGTCGCAGTCTCCGAGGCTGGTCGCCGGTGGGGAGTGGGGGGGGTGGGTGGGTTACTCAATGCCAGACTGGTCGACAGATGGGGGGGGGGGGGGTGGCAGGTGTTTGATCCCCCGGAGACAGAGACCGGAGGCACCTTTGTTCAGGGGGGAGGGAGCAGTCGTGCGCACTGCGCAGGGAACAAGACATTCGACCCAGCCAGAACTTGCAGCAAACATAGGTGATGTCTCTAGTTGGAGATTGGTTAATGGCAAATGCTAGCGCAGATACTTACCATCCCCGGCGTCTGGTAGGAGCACAGCACCTACCAGTTTGCCTGGATCATGCGCACAGCATTATTAGGTTAGGTATACCTGATCGCGATACAAGCTCTATTCAAAGCCACCCGGACGTTCAGTAAGCACCAACAGCCTGAAATGTAACTATATGTGATGCGTCCATCCCTCACCTGTCGTTTAGTCCGCGCATTGGCACACACCGTGGGAGGGAAGGGACGGACAGAGTAGTAAAGTAATCTTGGACGGACGGGCCCGCCGATTATCGCTCAGCGGCGAGCGCACGCTTCAGGCTTACGGCTGCGGTTAGTTTAGATACGGAAGTCACTGGGTACGGTACAGCTTCGACAAGCGACGTTTTGGCGACTGACCGGACAAGCGTGGCCATTTGCTAGTTGGTGATCGTCAACTGAGTCTTCCATCGAAAACTGTTAGGTATTACGGTAAATTGAAAAAAGATAAAGACAGAAGCGGAACAGAACAGATAGAGACGAGTGATCGCACCATATGGCGTCGGTGATCGTTCGTCATCCGCTGTCGCCATCGCTCATCATCCATCCCCAGTCCTCACCACCCTCAGTATGGAGACGGAGGGCCGTCGGTCGGTCACGAGAACCCACCGCTAGTGTCGAACTCGAGACTCCCCTGTCGCTACAGATGAGGGGGAGGGTGGTCGGTCACATGGACCCACGGGGTCACGGCTAATGTCGAGACTCCTCTGTCTCAGCAGAGTCTTTCGGGCCACAAGGTTAGTTAGGAGGAAGTCTTACGATTAACATTCGATTCGCAGGTCTTTCTGAGTCTATTGGTATAGCTTCTTTAAAGGGACCCTCCCACCAGGGACCATCCCACCTTAACATTAGTTTTGAGTTGAGATAGCCAAGTTTGCGGCCAGGCTCAGAAACCACCATTTATCCTGGTCGCAACCCCCGCAGCTTTATGGTGTTCAAGAAATTTCTTCCCTTTACTTGCAGGGTGGGACCAGCTTAGTCCCTATCTCTTAACCATTAGCGGTTTTTTGATGACGTCAGCAGTCATTTCAACGCCCGCCATTCCTTGAACCCGAGTTTTGCTAACCTTGAGCTGCCTTTTTTATCAACGTGAAATCCGTCGTCGGCGCTGAGAAAGCCTATTGCTTTTCATTTTAATTTGAATATTAGAAGATACCCACCACTGGAACTTGGACTGATATTATACCAAGGCCGAAGATGATCAAGCTGCCTACTATATCTGGAGCTTGGTGTTCAACTTCAACATGGAATAAAAAACAAAATATCAAAGCAAACTGGATATGGTACTGCAAGTTAAAGTCCAAAGAAATTTGAAGAGCTGACCATTGACATTAATTCTTTTCCTGCAAGGTTTCCATATGGAGATCACAGTCACACCATGAAGAAATATTTTTGATGTTAACAGTTGAAAGGGGATTTATCTTCCAGTTTTGACGAAAGACGCTGCTGACTGTCTTTGGAAAAGGATGTCGGCATGAGGTGCAATTGTGCTTGTGAAGTGGTTATAACTGGTCTTTTCACAGTATTAAATTAAATGTGCCATTGCAGCCAAGTGTGTTATCATGTAAGGTAAAATCAAAACTACAATGTTGGTTTTACGAGCATTGAGAAGGCTGGTAGGTAACACCTGCCTGTGCTCGTAAATCATGCTGCCAGAGTATTCTAAATTAATTTTATCATACAATTTTGTTGTCCAGAATGGTTGCACTATTGTTTGGTATCATATTATTCCATGTAAATATGGTAGTGTAAAGTCCGACCAACATGTTACCAGATTTGAAGCTGTTACGTTACCTAAGTACCTGTTTTTTACTGGTGTGGTGAATGTCACCTGGATTTTGTTTTGAGGTGCAGACCTATTAACTCTGACTACATGGGTTTGAAGCTATTATCTATTCTGTTTTTACTGGCCTGGTGAATGGCGACTGATGTTGTCCGTGGATGGCACTGAAACAAATTTTGAGTGTTTTGTATAGTGTTTTAATACAATGCTGAGGGCTGAAAGTTGTCTTGTTTAGAGTGGTGAAAGTTCAGGATAT